TTAGGCGTCAATTCCGCCCCCCGTCGATGGTGGACCCAGGGCATCTTTCATGCATTACATTGCCATAACTCGTGAACGTAAAAATGGACACCGGCTCCTCTCATGTGACCGTTGCTACCGCTACTCTTGAACAGATCCATTGACGTGGAACCGACAGATCATCACATGTGACCGCTAATCATCAGGAAAAAAATTTGAAAGAAACTATGTATACGAAGAAGAATGGAATACATGCTTGCTTGGGGAATATTTCTCACCGAACGTACTGATTCGAGTTGACTTGACTCGCCATGACCATCATCCAGACGAGGAATATGGACCCGATGATCCAGAAGGCGAATTCAGCCTGCCAGCACTGACCTACAGGACAAGAAAGTCAGTATAGCCTCTTACAGCCATGGTATACGCATGTGACTTACAGATATTTCTCTGCTGCAAGAATGCCAGCGTCTCAATGTTCGCTCCACTAACACCGTTGTTGAATACATAAGTATTGCACTGATTGTTGATGTTCGGGCCGGCGAACAGCTGAATCGCAGTACCGATTATACCAGCGATGAATAGAACGAGCAGAATAAACGACAGCAGCATCATAATGCCGGGAAGAAGTTTACGTTGTGCAATGTAGACGATTTCGACGATGATGAAGATGATGGCGAGGGTGCCGACAGTCACGCCATACGGCATTATCCTGTGGAAGCGTTAGAAAAACGGCCTTGTACCGTGTATTGCGTCGTACGTGAAGAACTAGCAAGAGAGAAAATCATACCATGGCGTCCCGAGGCCCATTCGATCCTGTATTGACATGAATTGTGCGTTGATGCCTAAGATTGTTCCCGCTGTGGCTAGCATGACAATTGTCCAGATGTTGAGCTGAAGATCTGGCCAGTAGTACTTCTCTCGCACCACTATGGCCGAGCCCACGACTGTGCCTGAATGTCCTGCCCGCGCCATTGTATCGGGTTGTCACACTCTGAGGCCCTGTCGAGCGCGTCCAAGTATGCGATTGCGTTGATGGTTGGATTTCGAGGGCGTTATCGTTGTGGTCGTACGTAGGCGACCGAGGTTGATGCTCAGATGTTTTGTTTTGTTTTGGCCCTTGCACCGCCTTGAAGGGAGTGCTTGAAGCTTTGTATACTTGTTTTGCAGGCCGGTTTTCCGCAGCTTGGGCTTGGAGACTTGGCGGCGGCGCAATCACCTGCTTCTCCTATTCCACAATGGTGGGATACTCTCTTGTCTTCAATTAAACGTATTCCTCAGTTGTGATTTCCTTGACGAGATTATGCGCGTCGTCGTACAGTCGGCGGGACGGCCGGTGCAAGCAGGGGAGTGAATGTTGTGATGTGTAGCCTGAGCAACGAGCGAGTTTTGCGGGGCAGAATGCGGAGGCCTCGGAGGTGTCTGAACACCTGCAATAGTGCAGGAAAGGACCAGGTTAAATAGTTGTTAAGGGGACGATGCATGAGACGATAGGAATCGAACATGGGAATTGCGAAAGCCCCTATAGACCCTGTTATTCTTGTTCCGAGGACCGCCGTCGTGAGCACGATGGCTGGGGATGGGGGCGGGAAAACAACTCTATTGGGTGCGGCAGAAAGTCCCATCACCAGGAACAGGATTATTCATCTTAGACGCGTCGGAACTCTGGACATGCTTGAAATCTTTTTTACCGTCTGTATTGTGTGAGTCTGATGTCACCTGTGATATGTCCGGACTTGGATCAATGTTAGTGTCTGGTGTCGTGATTTTATAATGATGTGTCACATGTCTGAGCGCATCAAGAAGCGCTCATCCCAAGTACACATAGTAGCAGATTGTATCCGTCAAGGATCACACGTCGCATTCCCTGCCTTGGCAATGCGCCTGAGCAATGTGTGAAGTCCACATGTACGACTTGATGATGCCCAAGTTCACGAAAGAATTTGAACTTGGAAGTGATTCAGCTAGGAAATATGAATGCGCATCCGTCTCAAAACTACCCGCAACATGGCGCCATATTTTTGACATGTTGAAGACCCAACGCAACTCCAAAACGCCGCTAAATGATCATGGTATCGGAAGGTAATCGTAGGCTCGAGCCGAAATGGCAGCGCACACGGTTGCGCTTTTCCAGCGTGTCCGGATGAGATAGTAGCCGTCCCAGATCGAAGCTTTTAGTATCCTCCTCGTCCACGTCCACCGCCAAATCCACCACCTCCACCACCGCGTCCGCCGAAGCCGCCGCCACCGCGTCCACCTCTTGAGAAGCCACCGCTTCCGCCACGACCGCCGAAACCGCCTCCACGTCCAGGGGGTCCGCCACGGCCTCGGGGAGCTCCACGGCCGCGACCTCCAAAGCCACGGGATCCTCCTCTTGGTGCTCCACGGCCTGCGCCAGCGGGCTTCTTAACCTTCGTAACGCCTCCAACGGGCTTGGGCTTAGGCAGGAACCTAAATCAAATTAGCACGTCAAGCGCAAAAACCCTCCGGGCTAGCTTACCTGTCGAGGGGCAGCAGCTTGTCGCCTCCAATGTAGAATTTGTCGCCAGCCTTGAATGACTTTGCTTGTATGCCTTCTTGGGGCTTGATGGTGAAGTAGACCTGGTTCAAAGGGCCTAGGATTTCGTCGACTTTGCCAATGGGCGTCTACAGCTAGTCAGCCTGTGCTCTCCTCGCCCTGTACTCTCGTAATTGGCGTACCTTGTTCTCTAGGTAGATTGGCGCGTTGAAGTAGGGAATCTTTGTGTTTATCGATTCGCAGAACATTTCGTTTTCACAGTCGTGCACGAACTTGCCCATTTCTAGACCGGTTAGCGAAGACACCTCACTATGCGATCGCAAGGCATACCGATGACAGTGTCTGGGGGTCCAAATGAAGCTCCCATTCCACCACGTCCTGTCGCGCATTAGCTATGAAAACCTGCGTAGCTCCAAAAATGCTACACACCACCACGGGGAGTAAATCCACCACGTCCACCAAAGCCGCCGCCGCGACCGCCACGAGGAGTTCCGCGAAATGCCATGTCGTTGGTTGTATCGAGTGTGTTTGAGGCGCGAAAGGTGAGCTTGTTCTAGAGCTTTGCGAAAAGTTCGACTGAAAATGAAGTTCGACAGGGAGCGGCCAATCGGCACTAGGTTTCGCCGACGGCTCCTTGCGCCGCATAACCCCACTAGATGCATCCGCCAAGACCAAGTGGGCTGTCGTGCGCGCGGAGCTTTCTGAAATTGTGATTGAGTCCCAAGCTGTAATCACAGCAGTCAAGAGTCACCGATATTCTCTAGTGTTATAATACGTCACATCCACGTGATACCGTAATTGGTTGCCAATAGAGCCCAGGAAGATCCTGTCGACCCAGGGACTGACTCACAACTGCTAAATCATTCTCGCCGAACGCGCCTTGGACTCGATCAAATATCAGCATGGCGGACGCGGTAAAGGATGCCGTCAGCTCGGCTGTCGAGGGCGTGAAGAATCTTGCAGTGTCTGGCGAGCAGAAAGCCCAACAAAAGGAGAACAAGGCCCCGAAAGCAAAAAAAGAGAAGAAGAAGGGAGATTCGGGAGATGGACGTCCCTTGATGCTCGATCCTGCGCCCGCCTTTATCGACCACCGCATTCAGATCTTGTGAGTCACCTAACACTTCCGTGTGCTTGGATATCACTGATACGTGTGTGCACAGCGAGAAGCTCAAGGCGAAGTATGACGAAGAGATAGCCCAGAAGCCCCGCGGTATGTTCACAACCACCACCAAACATCAGCCTGACCTCATCACTAACATTTTGCGCCCGTAGAGAAGATTACTATCACACTGGAAGATGGGAAGAACATAGAAGGAGAATCATGGGTCACCAGTCCAGCCGATATCGCACGCAACATCGCGAAGAGCCTATTCGAGCGCACCGTCGTCGCACGCCTGGACAAAGGCACGCCCGAGGAAACACTGTGGGATCTCGAGCGACCATTGGAGAAGAGCTGCAAGCTAGAGCTCTTGCCATTCGACGACCCGGAGGGTAAGAAGGTCTTCTGGCACTCGAGCGCACATATCCTGGGAGAGGCATCCGAGCGCCGATTCGGTTGCGATCTCTGCATTGGCCCTCCCATTGAGGATGGTTTCTACTATGAAATGGCCCTTCCAGATAACGCGGCAGTTGATCCTGCCGATCACAAGCCGCTCGAGACCATTGTCAGCAGCATTGTCAAGGAGAAGCAACCCTTCGAGCGCCTGACACTGTCAAAGGATGATCTACTTGAAATGTTCAAGTCGAACAAGTACAAGCAGCACATCATCAAGGACAAGATTGCCGACGGCACCTTCACAACCGTATACCGCAACGGACCACTTATCGATCTCTGCCGCGGACCACACGTACCACACACTGGCCGGATAAAGCAGTTCAAGGTCATGAAGAACTCGGCCTCATACTTCTTGGGAGACGCCAAGAACGACAGCTTACAGCGTATTTATGGTGTCTCCTTCCCCGACAAGGATGCCATGCAGGCGCATCTCAAATTTCTCGAAGAGGCTGCCAAACGTGACCACCGCAAGATTGGAAAGGAACAAGAACTCTTCTTCTTCCACGAGTTTAGTCCTGGCTCTTGTTTCTTCCTCCCACACGGCCAAATTATTTACAATACACTACAAGCCTTTTTGCGTGAAGAGTACTGGAACCGCGGATATCAAGAAGTTGGATCACCAAACATGTACAACTCCGCGTTGTGGAAGATTTCTGGCCACTGGCAGCATTACGCTGATGACATGTTCACCTTTGATGTAGAGAAGGAGAAGTGGGCTTTGAAACCAATGAACTGCCCCGGTCACTGTCTGATTTTCAAGCATCGCGAGCGAAGCTACAGGGAATTGCCAATTCGTATGGCCGACTTCGGTATCCTGCACCGAAACGAAGCCAGCGGTGCACTCACAGGTCTTACCCGAGTGCGAAGATTCCAACAGGACGATACTCACGTTTTCTGTACCCAGGATCAGATCACAGAGGAAATCTCCGCGCTATTTGATTTCTTAAGGGCAGTATACGGAAAGTTTGGCTTTACTTTCAAGATGAAGCTGAGCACTCGTCCTGAGGGCTTCCTCGGAGACATCGAGACTTGGGATAAGGCGGAAGCGAAGCTGACTGAGGCCTTGAACCAGTTCACTGCCGCAGGTGGCAGCGCTTGGGAGCTAAATCCTGGTGATGGAGCCTTCTATGGACCCAAGATTGACATCACCATCTCTGATGCCCTCAAGCGAGAGTTCCAGTGCGCCACTATTCAGCTTGACTTCCAGCTTCCGAACCAATTCGAGCTTGAGTACATGACATCTGAGGTCATACCTGTCAAGAACAAGGATCAACCACAAGAAGGTGGACATATCGAGCAGAAGAAGGAGAAGCTGGAAGGTGCCGATGTCACTATTCCCAAGAAGATCAAGGAACCACAACCAGGCTACGCTCGCCCTGTCATGATTCACCGCGCCATCTATGGTTCCTTTGAGCGTTTCATTGCGTAAGCCCCTTCTTTCCACGGTTATTATGAAAAGAGCGCTAACACAGATGTAGTATCCTTACAGAGCACTTTGCCGGCCGTTGGCCTTTCTGGCTATCTCCCCGTCAAGTCATGGTCATCCCCGTCATGCCTGGTGCGAACGACTATGTCAAAGAAGTGCAAGCCGAGCTCCGCAAGCACCGTCTCCACGCCGACATTGACATTAGCGGTAACACTATGCAGAAGAAGATCCGCACTGCCCAACTCGCCCTCTACAACTTCATCATGGTCGTTGGTGCCGAGGAACAACAGGCGAGGGCTGTCAACTGGAGGAACCGTGACGATCAGGAGACTCAACAGCGTGGCGTCATTGTACCGCTTGATGAAGCCGTGAAGAAACTGGTCGAGTTGAGGGACGAGCGCAGGTTTGAGAACAAGGTCTAAGGTCGTGTGGAATAAAAAGACTAGGATGCACTAGGAACGTACGATAAATGAGACATGATTTGATGAGGTAAAAGTATGGGAAATGGCATGTGCGTAGCTTTGTAGAAAGCATCTTACAGACGGGGTCAGGGAAGTGTTACAGAACATGGCCAAGGAGCTAAGTTGATCATCTTGAAGCGAATGCCGCTCATGGAACAAGTGAATGAGATGACAGTGTGTGAACAATATGTGTCGTGTGTGGCGATTGCTCGCAGAAGAACCGATATCCCAACGCCCTGCAAAGCCTATTTGCCCAACGCCGTTTTCAATAAAACCTATACCAATAGAACCCGTCTGAAAGCAAAAACTCCATTTGAAAAAAAACACTCCCCCATCGTTACCGTCGTTTACGCATTGCCGTCTTCACTCAGACTTCAAACACTACCAGCCACCCCTTACCCTCCTAACCTTCTCCTTACCACCAACCCTCCCAGCCGTAATCCGTCTCACCCACCTCCGAATCGCCCATCCCCTAGCCAGTGCCTGGAAGGCCAAGACATCGCTCTCCAACTGCGTGCGTCTCTGCTCCTGAATCGCCTTCCACAGACGCTGTACAACGGTCGCCGCATCCACCAGGCGCTGCCTCGCCTGTGCTACAACCGCACATTCATGTGAAATTTTGAGAAGAGCAATGCGATTGCGAGTCTGGCGGCGGAGGCGGAAACGGCGGAATGCAGCTTGAATAGTCGATGCGGCGCGATGTGTGCGTGCAAGTGGCAAGAGACGCGATGCCAAAAAGGTAAGCGTAAGGAGTGTAAAGTCGCGGCTAGGAATCGAGCGAGCGGAGCTGTGTTGAGGCGTAAAGAGCGCGATGAAGGATGTTGAACATCCGATGGCTTTTAGCTTAGTCGCAAGACCCGTTTGTCCACTGCTCTCCGCCGATGCGGTTGTGAGGTTAGAGGGCAGATATGTATCGACGATGACCTCGAGAACTTTTGGGTCTGCGAAACTTGTTGTCAGGTTGGATACACGCAGACCGTGAAGACGGCCAATCGAGCGGGACCAAGAGAGGAGAAGGCGCTTGTGGTACGTCATTGTGTCGAGATCGTGTGCCGTATCTTCTTCACTCTCGGAGTCAAAGGCTCGCCCGGCAAGGCTGTCTCGTGTATTGTACCATTGGGTGCGAAACCGCTCCGTCTCCTTAACAAGCTGTGGCCAGTCCACCAAAGCCCCAAGGCCGCATTTGCCAACGAGGGACCAGAGGAGCGACAGCGTCTTTTCGCGATGTCCGTCGACGATGTCTTCAGCTCGAATACCAACGAGTGCTGCGCTTGGCATAGCTGGGACAGCTTTCAGAGCTGCCAAGGCGATTTGAATGTTGTAAATCTTCTGGGGTCGGCCGATGGTTGGGTATTTGAGGTGTTGTGAGAGAAACCAGGTTTCCTTGTGCGAGGCATCGGATGAGCAGCTAAGTACTTCGCCAGTGGGCAGGGCGAGTGTGAAGACATGTTCTTTTTGTATTGTAGAGGGATAGAGTAGCAATTCTACAAGGCGGGTTAGAACGATGCCATCGCGGAGATCAGTGGCAATGTTGTCAATCTGATATGTGTACTCCTCAAGCGGGTACTGTGCATGCTCGACCCTGTAGTTGAGATGATGGAGCGGTCGAGTGATATCACCATGTGAAGGAAGTAGCATTTTCGATAGTTGATGGAGAACCTCAACAGACGTCTTGTAGGGTGAGGTAGTCTGGAAAAGGCATCCTGGTAGGGCATCTGTCGTCTTCGCTTGATCAAGAATCAGAACGAGCATTAGACTCCGTAGTGCAGTGCGGCGCCATGACCAGCCTGGAGAGCCAAACTCGTCGTCGCCGCGTGTGAGACTGGCAATGCTACCGCCTCCCGACTTGACACGCACAGCATCTTCGTTTTTGATCAAAAAGGCAGACAAGAAACTCTCAATCGCGCGGCGTTCACTACGATATTGGCGAGAACCGTCATCTGAACAGGTGGATCCCGTTGACAGCCGGCAGGGGGTGGTGATCTGACGACCTACAATCGTCTCAGCTGCGGCTCGCAGCGCAGTCAAGTCGTATGTCTTGGTCCAAAGATTGAGGTATTTCTTGCGCAGACCTACATCGTCCTTGAGCCGTAATGCCTGAGCCAGTAGATCCTTCGGAATGCTTAATGCGCCAAACTGCAAAGACGCCTGAAGACGCTTGTGCAGAGGGGGCATGGTCGGATCATGGTAGATGGCAATCATCTTTTTGCGCAAATCTTCTGGGCTCTGCTCGGCGTTTGGGTCCTTGCTTGCCGAGTCGAACACAGAGTTCAGGAGCTGTGTAATAGCTAACTCTTGGTAGGTCAGCCAATTATCCTCGTATAACTCTGGCTGGGCCAAATCCTCATGTAGTACAGGGTACTTCTCGCGTGACTGTGGTGGCTGGCCGACTTCGTGTAGCATGGTGATATTGCTAGCAACGCTTCTAGTCTTGTGACGACGCAGTGCGGTAGGAGGGGACCTGTCCGTGTGGAATGGTGAAGAAGAGAGCGGCGCGCGATTTGCTCTGGCTAGCTTCGCTCGTTCCGTCTTGATGGTCGTCCTCAAAGATGCCCTACTGTTCGTAGCAGATGCTGTGGCGTCAGCCTTTGACTTGAGTGCCTTGGCTGGCGCATCGTCGCGGTCTACTTGGGCTCGTGGCCGCTTCTGCATACTCTCTGCCCGTTTCTTGGTTTGTAGTGTCCGTTCAGGCTCTTGGAATGCGTTGAAATGAACCTTGGGGGGCTTTACTCCTGGCTTCTTCACCTCTGGCTTAGTGAAGTTGATATCGATGTGTATGCCCTTGCCCTTGGTTTCGATGACCTTGAGGCCCGGTGGTACATTCTCCTTCCCGCCTCCCGAGCCTATCATGTCGCTTGAAAAGGATACGCTCTGTGTTGATCGAGAAGTCGTACTCAGCGGCCCGCGCTTTGGCGGCGCAGCGAGCGCCTTGCGTGGTACCTTCTTCTCTTTCTTCAACGCTGGCAGCAGATTATTTCCTTCTTCCTCGGATAATGTCACAAGATCCAGTCCAATGTCCGGTGAGACGTCTCTGGCATTGCGCGACGCGTGTGTAGGCTGTCCCGGGTGAATGGTGAAGACCGATGTGTCATCGGACGGAATGTAGATTGTGCGTCGTCGCAAGTCTTTCTTGGGGGCCTGCTTCTTGAGTTCCTTCCTCTCCAGTACCTCCTCTTGTAACTGCACTGTCGCATTCACGTCTTTTGCATGCTTGTCGGCTGGTGTTTGCGAAATGCGTCGTCGGTGTGCTCTCTCGTGCTGTGGGTCTGGCATTGGTGGCGCAGGCTTCGGCATCTTCTGTGCTGGATGCGCAAGGATTGCACTCTTCTTCGCTCGTGTGGCGGCGGGGACAATGCTCGCGCGGCTTCTCTTCTTCATCTCAAAGTCTGCATGCTGCTGCTCCTCTTGCGCGACATCCTCAAAGATGTCTAGCGACGGGTTGAAGGCAGCTTTGTGCATAGTACGCAGCGGTCGTCGCGGTTTCGCCTGGCGGGGCGCGGCCTTCAGCTCGGTTGTGTATTCGAGATTTGCTGTTGTGTTGTCGTCGAGGTAGCTTGGCGCGTATTGGTTTCCGTAGCTGGGGTAGTAGCTGTTTGCAGAGGAACAGGGCGCTGGGCAAGGCGTGCCCGCTGTGTATCCGTACATGGCGAGGGATGTCAAGCTTGAATTAGATGTAATTGTATAGAGCGCCGGCGCATAGGTGAGCGTGAATCGTCTGTCCAAGCGAGTTCGGCATCAGTTCGTTCTTGATGCTTTTGCGCTTAGCCGGTTGGGGCGTGTTAGTGCGCTCCGCATCCATCAACATTGTTGCCGCAGCAACACAACACGAAACACTGACACGGCTGTTGCGTCTTGACGTCACTAGCGTGGCACATATATCACATGTCAACCAATCCGGCTTTCACTCTCACAGAAGCCGCCTTAGGGGATGCCTCTGCCAGCCCTGATAGCTTTGGCCGCCTCTGACTGCGCCCGATCCTCTGCATACCTCTGGTAGATAGGCAGGTAATGCTGTCTCTCACTCAGCGTCTCCTTGACACTCTTTCTGCTCTCGACAGCAGACAGCCACTTTTTGAACCTCTTCCACACCTCTTCATCATCACCACCCTTTCCTTCCTCGGGAATGCCCGAGCCGCCTTTGAAGTGATCGAAAACCCAAAGCCTATTCGCCCAGGGCGCAATGACAATGTCAATGAGCCCAAAGTCTTGACCGGAGAAGAAAGGGCCTTCGGCATCCATCTCGCGTGTGAACTCTTTGAGGTGGTTCAGGAGCTCCTTCTGCTTCTCTTCCAGACCGTCGCCTTGATGTTGTAGGAAGCGATGGTACGCTGGGATGACCCTACTACCGACATAATCCATCCAAATCCTGCTTCTGGCCCGTTCGTATGCGTCTTGGGGCATCAGATGGGGTGTATGTTTAGGAAATGCCTCTTCCAGAAACTCGCAAAGGACGGTGCTCTCGTACAAGGGCTTGTTCTCGAATTGCAGAGTTGGAACAAGACCGCGCGGATTGAGATCCAACAGAGACTGTGGTTTGTGATAAGGATTGACTTCAATGTACTGGTACTGGATGCCTTTCTCCTCGAGGGCAATCCAGACTCGCTGCACAAAGGGGCAAAACCAGCCAGAGTACAACTTAAGCGAACACTCTGTAGAGTGGGCCTAACAAGTTATTTAGGTGGTATCAATGCTGAGACGCATCAAAGTCCTTACCTTGACCGTCGCTGCAGCTAAGCCCGTGGCCTCGGGATGTAGCTCTGCATCGGGATGGTCTTTACCCATAGTTGCTTTTTGTTGGAAATACTGAAGCGTTTGGTGGCTCGTCAATAGTTACTAGGTAGAGGGCGGCAGAACGCTGGGAATCATCGTCATGAATATATAGACGTATTATCGAGGCTCGTAAGCTTGACGCCATAAGCAAGGATTAATCACACCATGGTCGACGTCGTGGCAATATTAAGAGGCGGAAGCGGGGTAACGTGTCCGTGCGCGTGATGCGCGGATTCGCGTGATGCGCGGGGAACACCATATCCACTACTTCAAAAATGAAGCTATTAAGCCACGTATATAAGCTGTTATTATACGAATTTATAGAGGGGGAGTAATTAGATGCTTGCGATCAACTTGTACTATCTATATTTTGATGGGAGGTTGACGTTGCGGCCACGTGATGTGAGCTTTGATGGAGGAGCTGGAGGCTCTTCTTGAACTTGAGCACCAGCGCGAGCAGCCTCAACGCGTTTTTGACGCTTGTTGTTCGATGAGGTAGCTGCTGAAGCTCTCCTCTTTCCCTTTTGGGGTAGTTGTATAGCTTTAGCAGCGTCTCTCTCCTCCTTCTGGCGCGCGCGTTCAGCTGCTTTCTCAGCTCGCTCAAGCTCCCTCATCTCCTTGAGTCTCTGCCTCTCCACACGCCTCTCCTCGAGCTCATCTTGACGCTGCAGTCGAGCCTCCTCGCGCTGCTTCTTGGACCGTGCTTTTTGGAGTTTCTCCTCCGTCTCATCTCGCTCCCGTACTGCTTCTCTAGCTCGAGCCTCACGCAGCTTGCGAGGAGACCAGAAGACAGAGCCACCGTGATACTCCTGGCGCTGTTGAAGGTCAAGAGCTTTGCCCTTCTTCCTGTGCTTCTTTTTATGTTGAAGAGCCTCCTTTAAGCCCTCGTTCTCATGCTTTAAAAGCTCATACTGCACAGAGAGATGGTGAACGCTTGAGCGCAGCTTTCTTGCCTCATACTGATGGCTATCATTAACAGCAGCTCGTACTAGCCGATCGAGCTTTCTCCAGTCATGATCAGAGAGCCCTGACGATGAGCTTCTCTCAGCTTCTGGCGTGCTAGCAAATCTACGAAGGATAACGTTGGCATCCATCGGCCAGATCCCAGTGGCTTCGAACAGACTCCGCAACAATCAATCGGATCGGCATGATTGATTCCTATCTAGGTTAAAGGCTGCCTAATGAAGTAATTCTTTAACCTATATAGGAATCAATCATGTCAATCGATTGATTGTTGCGGAGTCTGGCTTCGAAGGCCTTCAATATGAGGCTCTCTGTGAAGGAGGATATCCAGGCGCTCCAGAAGAGCGGGAAGAAGTCCCCTTTCTTGATTGGAATAAGGCCTTGAGCCTTATGGAGATGGTTAGTGAGCTCGTTAGAGTAGGCTTGAGAGAGTGGCTTGAACAGCACTACATCTAGCGGCTGGAGCGTATGGGTCGAATGGGGAGGAAGGATCATGAGGAGGATCCTATGGCGATCGCAGTACTTAATAAACTCCATCGTGAGGTGAGATCCATGGCCATCAAGGATGAGCAATCTCCATCTACCTGATCGTTGCTTTGTAGAGCGATCAAACACCTGCTCCAGCCAAGCTAGGCCTACGTTATCATTTGACCAGCCTGTTGGAGATGATGAGACAAAGACCTCATGTTCTCCTGCCTTGATATCTTCTACCCAACTCGATCGTATAGCTCCATTTTTAGCTGCGTAGATAAGGGCTGGAGGCAGCGAGCTCCCATCAGCGCAGCAGCAGGCCAGGACTGTCAGAAACTCGCGTGATCCATCCTGGAGAGATGCTCGAACCTCCTTCTTCTCCCATTGACGCCTGCTGAATATCCTCTTACTTCTGCCTATCAAGCCAATTAAGAAGCCCTTCTCATCCATATTGTATATATCTCGAGCCTCTAGGTGATATTCGGTGATCTTTCGATGCAGCAGCTCGAAGTAGAGTCTATACTTTGACTCAGAATCAGCCAGGTGGCGCGTACGATCCATGGCGCTGGTCCACTTTGAGATGAGATGGATCTCGTGTCGGTTGATGAAGCGAGTAACCCAGCTCTCGCTGAGCTGCTGATGGGCTACTTCTGATGAGAAATTCCTGATCATCTCTCGTGTAGGAGGAATGCCTCGCTTTGTGAGCTTTTCGATATATCTCACAAGCTCTAGCTCTTGTTGTGGGTTGAGTTTCTGCTGGTTGAAGTTCTTGTCTCTTTCTGAGCTTGTCTGGCCCTGGTGCCTTCGGGTCAACGTAGATCTCACAACACCATGCTTAGCAGCAATTTTAGTATACGAGAACTGTTCTCCTGGCTCTAGATTTTCAATATCTTCAATCGCAGCTTGAATTGGGTCCATATTGGTGGAGTTAACGTGTGTTGAAGGTGAAGGGGTTTGACGTGTTTTGGTGTTCCCCGCGCATCACGCGAATCCGCGCATCACGCGCACGGACACGTTAACTAGCATTCCAACGCAGGTATAGTACCTTTCCCTGGCATGCTAATCTTCGTTCACACGACGCAGACCGCAGCGCCTACTGTCCGGGCCCTTTGCAGGGTTTGGACAACAGGATGCCGTGCTGTGCATTTTTATTAGCAGTTCAGAGTCAAAGATAAATCTGCCTTGTCTTAAAAGACCGTCTGCGAACATCTGCCCAGGACGCATGTTCTACCCAGTGCTCGCACTTCGTCTTCCTACCAGCCAACCCCACAGATTAAGGAATAAATGAAGCAGGTATGGTACAAGCGTGCCTGATCCCACGGTGTTTCGCCGACGTGTGTAGGTCCAGTAGGCAGCTAGTTAGGTCGTGATTGTTAAGGAGCTCAAGAGTATCTGCCAGTAGACGCAAAAGCTCCTTGAAGACGCAAAGTTGAAGACAAGGTTTTAGAAAGCGTACCGTACTGTACTTAGCAGCGGAAGCTATAATTCATAGCAGAGCCTAGCGGGGTGCAACAAACTAGAGCTCGAGAACGACAGCTTAGCGCAAGCCAACACCTACATCTGGAAAGAGCTGATTCCTAGCTACGACAATGTCTTACAGCTCCAGGTGCAGACCTTCAAGCGGATGGAGGCCAATTATCTGTAACTTAAGGCCAAGAGCAGGGTTGTAGAGGAGAAGCATACACAGGCACTGGAGCTGCTGAAGAAGCAAAACCAAAAGGTAGACGTGCTCCAGGCGGAGATCAAGGTTTTGTCTGAGGCGAGGCTTAGCTATGAACCGCAGTCACCTTCTGCTATGCGGAAGCGGCTGAGGTCTTGCAAGCCTGTCGAGGATGCGCCCCCGATGGCCATGAAGTGCAAGCTAGAGAAGCCTAGCATGAGAAATCCAATTGTATCCTGTTTATGTCTTTTTGCGATTACTACCTCTTGAACATAAGTTACAGCTGCTGAGCGAAATATAGTAGATAGTAATTCACGGTCTACTTGCCTCCCGAAGTGGCTGAGCCTCCAAGCCAAGGAGGAACTGCCGTTACCGAGCACGCCGCTGGGTGAGCATGGCCAACAATGTCAGCAATGTCAGCAGTGCCTGGGCCGATATTGTGCCGAGACCATTGTTGGCACTGCGGTTGCTGCAAATTTTTCTCTGGCAGTCCTGCACGCTGAGTACTTCAACGTAATAGCATGGGTTAAGGTTGAGGTTGAGGCATCATACACAAGTATGCGCTGGCGCCTAGGGATGGCTATGCTACGAATCTACTACTTCTTCTAGCGAATGGTTCATCAGATGAGTATACCAGGGGTGATATACATCAATTCATCTGCATGACTGAGGCGCAGTGGAGTTGACTGTGTTACGTAGTCGTTGATGCGGCAAGTGCCACGACCACAGGCAGCGAGTCATGGTCTAATTTTCTTTCGGAATGATGACATTCATAGGCTGCCCATGTTGTAACAGTACAAGCAGTGAGAGAAAGTTGCTATGCATTTTCTGATGTGTTGTTCTGTTCTGCTGTGGTGATGGCCTTTTATGGGGCCATCATACTAGTCTGTTTACATGACGTATCTGTGACATGGATAGGTGTAGAAGGTGCTTATCAGTAAGAGGAAGAACCATCTCGCCAACACGTGGCACCTAGGATGTCCTTACCCCATGAACCGTCACACATGTTTCTTGGCGTAGAAAATAATGCTCACCTTTCTGCTGCAAGTGATTGAATGGGCTGATCGTTCATCACTAACTATGACTGCAGGGAACCAGACTCCGCAACAATCAATCGATCGACATGATTGATTCCTATCTAGGTTAAAGGCTGCCTAATAAAGTAACTCTTTAACCTATATAGGAATCAATCATGTCGATCGATTGATTGTTGCGGAGTCTGACAGGCATGACAGTAGGTGGTATTTGAGCTCTGTACGTTGCCACTTGAATTCACATCATCAACTATAAAAATTACCTACCTCTCAATCAGTACATTGTACTTGACAACGGACAATCTCCAACTACTACTACCAAGCTCGTTGTCTCAACTTTTATCTTCGATAACCATCAACAAGTTATAGCGGTAGTGCTAGGACCTCCCTCAAACCAGTCACAGTCCCAACGCAATCTACAGTATGCACCTCAAGCTCGCCATCCTGTTCGTAGCTATTACGCTTCTGAACTTAGTCGCTTCGGAATGGACACTCAAAATACCTTTCAACGAAGTAGTCAGAATCGACTTTTACGCGTATCCGAGCGATAGATCAACAGTGGTTTTTCACACACAATGGACCTGGCACCCTGCGGACGACAGACCAAATATCATCCATGATGGAACCCATGTAACATGGAACGGCCAAACCCAAGGTGTGAGAGGAGATGGGCCTTATTGGCTTACAAGGACCCGATCCCGCTTGTTCGGTTTGGTGGACCAAGCCATCCCTGAAATAGGATTTGACCTTGCAGTTGGTGCTCAATATGTAAGACCAAACCTGCATGTAACCGATCCGGTTTATCCACGATGGCGTTGGACTGCCAACGGAGACGTCAACTATCGGGAAATTACTTTCACGGAACCTAGGCAAGGTGCTGATACAGTACGGCATCAGAGTGAGGTTAACCCCTGCACTACCTGCTAAGCTACTCCTAATCTAGGGTAGAGGGGGAGACACGTTTGTCGCAGTTATAAAGGAACCTAGAAGAAATGTCACGGTTTGGTGATGGGACGATGCCTATCTGAGACTAGCGCTGTTTATGGTCACTCACCTACATAAACTTTCCATAGCTTATACAATTATCACGGGGCCAAACAGTAGTCGCAAGGTAAGAACGTAGTTGTAGTGTAAAGGTCTATGTACAAGAGCACGGGGAGGATATGTACCGTAGGGTAGCAGGCGCTAGGCCAAGATAGGGATGGGGGCACGTGACCTACAGAGCGCCGAGTTGGTGCTGTGACAACAATACAACCTTAGTCAATCCTCAACTTCTTCCCTATGCGTACGGTTCACCCACTCCAACAAGAAAATGTAGCTAAGGAAACTTATTCTCGCGACAACAATAGATAGTCTGATAGAGTTTCTAGTATATAGGAACATATACCTAGCTACGAAATTGTAAACTGTATATTAATACGATCAAAGAACATGTGGCACCCTCGGATCACGACATCCCCTCCATCCCCCTCCCCAGACATCACATCAACATCAAATCAACTCCTTTAACCCCTCCGTAACCTTCTCCCAAGCCCCTAGGCTCATAGTTAAGGTAAGCCAATACCCCCCACTATGATCCCTGCCCAAAATATGCACTAGTGACCTTATCGTAGGATTAGATCTCCTATTCGACGCATGATAAAAGACGGGCGTGCCAGGTGGATTATACCTCTTTCCGTCACTCCCGCTCTCCTCCCCGTTTCCAATACTACTACCACCCGCTCGTATCACCGCTGGAGAGAAGTCAATCGCAGAGAAGAACTTTGCCTTCGTCCAATTCGAAAACGGCACCAACAACGCATCCGCGTCACCGTAGAGGGTGGAAGAGTCGCCGGATATGCGTCGTTCACACAGACTGGCTAGGACTTGGCTTCTGTTGCTTGTTCCAACAATGTCTGCCTGTTATGAAGAGCAAACTGACCTAGGGGACCGGTAGACATGGCGGGGCCCAGAAAAGTGAAGCAGGCGACGAGCATATTCGATAGATATACACCTTTCGCATTGATCAGGGATGGGAGGCGGAATCGGAAGTTCATTGCATGCAGGGCAGTTATGGGGCGCGGGGTGGGGAGGGAGGAGGCGATACAGTGGAGGGCGAGTGCTGTAAGAATGTCGCCGTCGCTTATAAATGGTATCTCCTTCTTTCCCATAGTATCATCGTTGTCGTTGTCGTCTTTGTTAGAAGAGGTACAGAGGTCTGCCTCAGCTTTAACCCTCAACTTCCCCATAACGCTCTCAGGGAGATAAATCGTCTTTGTCACCGGCTTTGGCCTTGTCAACATATCCGACGCCAACCTCTCTCCAAACTTCACAAGACTCAGTCCTTTCAGCTGTTTGGACTTGAGCACGTATTCTTCCGCCGCGCTGGTAGCGCCATCAGTCAACGCCATCAATGTGTCTTCCCGCGCACCCAGCACAGGCGGTATTTCAGCCTCCCGACCGGCTAATAGCATCGACCACGCTTGAACAAAAGCAGCTCGGCCCATAAGATCCATTAGGGTGTGCGGCCATGATAAGCCTATAAGTGTTGCATTGGTGAAGGAGGTTATGTGGAGGGAGATCTGGGGTACGTCCCCGGAGAGGAGATCTTCGATTGTTGCGGGTGTGGAGGGTGAAGCGGCTAGGTCGTTGAAGTCTGTAGGTCCGGGAATGGTTTTAATGCATCCGTTGGATGATAAGGGCAGTTTCCTAGCTAATTCGTGGTCCTGGATGGAAGTATTGATACTGTCGTGTGTGTAGGAGAAGGCGGGGCGGGAGGATGTGAAGGCACGGGGGACGTGGATTTCTAGTCTGCCATCGGCCTACACGTTGTGTTAGCACGCTAGTCGAGTTAATAAAAGAAATGTGGGATTTCGCTCTTACCCTGAGTCTTAAGCGGCCACCAAAATTTCTCCAATCTCCCGTTTCCAAGAGTTTTGCGAGCGAGGATTGAAGTTTATCTGCGTCAAGGACATCTGTCAAACGTCAAGGTTGGGGAGAATCATGTCGTATTAGAGCTATCGGAAAGAGGTCTATATGCGCAGTGGGAAGAGGGAGTGAAGGAGCTAGGCCGTAAAGGTACTAGCGGGTAAATGGGTGGCTGCCTGGTTGCCTAAGGAAGAGCCAAGGGATAAGCCCTATGGCCGACAACATCGTTGAAGCAGAGTGTCCATGTGACTAAGATGCCGCGGAAAGTCTTCGTGTCATCTAGTACATGCACTGGATAGACATCGTCGTCGGCATATGGATCTGGTGTATCATCTGCTGAAGAACAAGACCGTTTCGTGTCGCGCTTTAAGAAATCCATTATTGTGATGCCAGATTTGGAACACTTGGTAAGAAGAGAGCGAATACCAAGTATCAGGATCTCTTAAACTACCTACTTCAAACACCTATCTTCAATACTGTATAAGATTCGTGTGTCGCATTCGTATTTGGAGCACTGATTCTTTAATAGCCAGAGAGTGTCATGATCGTAGGGGTTAAATAGGGGCTCGCCAGGATCGTCGCTTTACCGTGCCGAACGACAAAACGCCCGCTCCACCCTACAGTCGGGTGACAAAAAGAAAGACTTTTTTAAAATTTACCTTTTTCTAAGCTCTATATCTAAAGAACTAGACTAGCTAGACTAATAATTTTTAGTTCTCTAGAAAGCTAAGAACTTTGTCTTTAAGACAGGTTACTAAAAGGTATGCTAAGTAAGCTTACGTCTACGTAACTCTAGTAGTGTTTAAGAGTGTGATGGGCTAGTGATGAAGGTGGAGAAACGTGCGTGAACTGTTGTATTGGAGCTACGGGAGGAGGGAGAATATCTATGGTGCGCGCACGGAGCAGCTGACTAATCAGTGCCTGGCCAATCAGAGCACGGGAAGCCTGATTCACCGTGAATACTAGTGAAGGCTCTCACCGCGTCTCGACAGCTAGACCTATGTATGCCTACTTGTAGGCTGAGAGAGAGTAGCGCAGTCATGCCTCCTACATAAATATCAACTACGCAAGCTGAATCGCGTTGATTCAACTTGTGTATGCCTTTTGCGCACGCGTGGTGCATGTAGTTGTGCCGCTAGTCTTATAGACTCACGCCCGTTACACTAGTTAGTGAATCCTCGATAATATCTCGGTCCGAACGACGCTTAGACCATCCGCACAGTCCATAGGCAGAAGGTTATTCTAAGCCGCTCTCCGAATAACCTTTAGCACGAGATAGCTTGTAGTTCTCTTCCCCATCGAATACAACTCCAGTATACCTGTGCGATAGCTCCCTGAGCGCAGCCCCTTACATACATACTGCCCGCCATCAAACTACGTTATCGCCCCTCGCCCTAAGCTTACAAAAGTCTAGCTATTTAGGCAACGCTTTATAATACCTACTGATGGAATGTACGCATTTTTTGGCATTAAATTATGATTTATTAGAAGGTGCGTGAGAGCCTGTACGAGACTCCTAGAGGCTGCCAAGGCACTATCCATAACTATGTGCGATCGCGTGAGAGGTATCAGTGGACTATCTCCTCTCTTCTCAACACCTACGCCTACCTATTCTACTTCTTATATACACGCGCTTTGCTCTTAGCTCTAATCTCTATTGATCGCTCTCTCGGTGCTTACTCTAGCGGCGCACGCGCACGGTGGGGTGCCTAGTCTCGCGACCTCCCAAACGCGTAACCTTAAGCTCCTCAACTAAGTAGTCTACTACGTTGCAAATTGGTCAGATTGTGCGTCTACGTATGCTGAGTTACGTGTCTTAATTTAGAGTAATTTCGACTATAGACTAAAAATAGGATGTACTCCTAAAGTTTAATGGGATGAACCTCTGGTTCTAGTATATACCCGCCGTACGCATACTTCTTAGCACTAAGAAAAAAATGGTATGTTATAACGTACCATTTAGCGCCCTGTGTTGGGCACGTGCGCATAAGCGAGTGCGGCACGTGCAGGTGACAGGGGAGACGAGAGGATACCGTGACAATAGGGGTGCAAAGGACTTCGTCCGATATGCAGAGATATGATTCGCGCACATGCAGACGCTCGTAAACCTAAACGCTGTTATATAGACTAAATTACGGGAGGCGTAGATGCCATATAGTGCCGGGTTTAGCACGTGACAGATTGCGAAGCTATTAGACCAGCACTTTCACCCGTAAAGATGGGTTGATCACACGACCCTTATAAGCCATGGACATTAAGTTATCGCTATTAACTCATTTTATACGACCTTTTAAGTTGGGGTTTGGACGGCCTGCTTCTTAGAGTTATTTAGCTGTCGCCACTCCATTACCCAGCTTAATACCCACGCAAGAGCTGGAGCGGCAAGGGCTACCCAGAAAACATGTCTCAATGCTGAGTTGAATGAGTCAACGACAGCATTTAAAAGTTCTGGGGGAACGATTTCCCTAAATCCTCTTGCTCCAGCCGCTACTACGACTGTACCATCTATTCCCTGTATCTTTCTGAGGTTTCGCAGGAGTGCATCAGTGAAGAGGTTCTGCCCGACACTGGGAGCCAAGGCACCTCCGAGCATTTGGAAGAACATGACCATGACAAGGCCTGTTGGTATATCTGACTTGCTGAGGACAACTTGCACAGCCAGGATTGGCATTTGGCTACAGATACCATAGCCAAGCCCGGACAGGATTTGGAACCCTATCCAGTGTCCACGCGGACTATCGGCACGTATCATTTGATATAGACCCCCTCCAGCAGCCAAGATGAGGGGTCCGGTCCACATGAATGGCACATAGTGCCCATATCTCGACACCATAGTGCCAGCGCAGAGCGTGCCGAGGCTGTTTGACACGATCAATGGGAGTAAGCTGATCCCTGAATCTCTAGCACTGGTATTTCTGACCGACTGGAAGTATATGGGCCAATAGTACGAGTGGAGTACTATAGCAACCTGGACAAGCATCATGAAGCCGCAAGATGCAGATACTGTACGACTTCGGAAGATACGAAGCGGGATAGTTGAGCTTTAATGATATTAGCAAGCATCCTCGTCAACGAGAGTTTTTGCGAGGGATAGACTTTCAGGAAAGACACAAACCTTTCTTTGTCTCGGTACTGTAATGATACGAAGGTAATCAATAGTAAACCGAATCCGATCAGGCACCCGAAAACCTTCGCATTGGACCATGGATAGACTACACCGCCCCATTGTAATGCCAAGTTTAGACACGAAGTTGCACCGAGTAACAGAATAGCCCCAGGAAAGTCAAGTTGATGTAGCTTCTGAATCCATGGTATTCCACCTTTTACTGCGGGTGGAGGTTTCTTCAAGGTGAACCAGACAAGAACCAGCCCAACAGATCCAAAAGCTAGAAACCGTTAGCTAGTGACTCTGAGGCAGGAGAGAGGCTTCTTTATCGATGACGACTTACGGAGATTGATCCAGAATATGAACCTCCAGCTAAGCGCCTTGTTATCGGTTATCGAACCACCCAACAGTGGTCCGATGGCCGACCCAATGTTGTACACGCCCAAGACCATGGGCGATATCATCGCCTGAGTTTTCAAAGACACGCAATACGATAGAATGGTTGTTGTTCCGCTCACCAGGCCAGCAGCACCGAGGCCAGAGACTGATCTCCCTATAATAAGCGCCATAGAATTCGGGGCGACTGCCGAGATGACGGAGCCGATCTCAAAGATAGCCAGCGAGAGGCAATACACCCACTTTATGTTGAAGAATGCGTAGAGACGGCCGCAAGTAGGAAGTAGCGCCATCTGCGCGATCAAGTAGGAAGAGCCATACCAGCCGATGTCATTAAGGCTTTGGAAGTCGCTGGTGATCTGGGGTATCGCGGTCGCTTAATGTAGCAATTAGTATCACAATTACTCCCAAGAGCATGATAGATACGAACCAAGAATGGTATTGTCGATTGCCAACACAAAGCAGATGGACATGAAAGCTATAGTCAAAGATGCGAGGGCCCATCCTTGAATGTGTTTAGTTGCAGGCTGCTCTTCACTCTGCTGGGTCTCAGCCAGATCTGGATTTGTCCCAGCAGGTCGGACAGTGTCTAATGAAATGCTTGTCATGCTCTTCTAATAATTATCTGCGTAGGAGCTGGTGGAAGATGAATGTGGTGAAATGACGGATCCGAAATGTGACAATGTACAATGTGTGCTTCGTAGTAGAGACAGGTTTCTAAGGGTGACAAGCCAGTGTGACAGCTTAGGATGCAGCCATGATCCTGACGATGATATGAAATCCCCGTGGTTCATTAGCCAACCGACATTCAGACATAACGGGGGTTGCCGTTGGTGTGGGGGTGCCAATGGACGAATGAGCAGTAGATCAGCCAAACATTTGCATAAATCGACTCACTGGCTGCGTCGTCGAAGCCCTTCTTCATGGGCACTCCTTGCAGTGTAAACTGGACATCGCGTTTGTGATTGAAGGCACCCAATTTCTCCGTTGTACCGTCCTGCAAGGGGCCTGACCTTCAAGCGTCGCCTCATTTCACGTTTACCCGCTGCACAGTACCCCAGGCGGAAGGTGGTGCATGAAGGAATAGGTAGTGGGTCTAGTGCAGGGAGGCGCAGTAGATCAGCCAAACATCTGCATAAATCGACCCACTAACCGCACACCCGCCCGCCAAGGTCGTCGAAGTCCTTCTTCATGGGCACTCCTTGTAGTGTGAACTGGACATCGCGTTTGTGATTGAAGGCACCCAATTTCTCCGTTGTACCGTCCTGCAAGGGGCCTGACCTTCAAGCGTCGCCTCATTTCACGTTTACCCGCTGCACAGTACCCCAGGCGGAAGGTGGTGCATGAAGGAATAGGTAGTGGGTCTAGTGCCGGGAGGCGCAGTAGATCAGCCAATCATCTGCATAAATCGACCCACTAACCGCACACCCGCCCGCCAAGGTCGTCGAAGTCCTTCTTCATGGGCACTCCTTGCAGTGTGAACGGGACATCGCGTTTATTATTGAAGGCACGGGTAAAGCCGGGGTTCATAATAATATAACAGCAGTAGACTTACGCCATACCCCCACATACTCTCTCTCCGGGACCCACTTTGAGACTTTCGCCACACAATCTGCATGCTACTTGGGAAATCTTACATGAGTGGTGTAGGAAAAAGTCGTAGTGGGCCATTGGGCCTCTGGGGTTAATCCTCCTGCACCACTCAAGCTATGTACAATCCTTTGGTGTGATACCACTGTAGATACCTGTCTAGCCCTTCGGATATATCAATATACACCAACAAAGTAGTACTTCAAACTATGTCTAGCACTTGCGATCACTATGCATCTCCGGGAGTGCTCGGATGAAATGCCTAGAAAGTCGATAATACTGCGCCGGCCGGATCCATACGATCTCTTGGAGCCTGCCGGATAGTCTGCAACAAAGTGAGCAAGTAAAGTCTAGAAGAATATATAATTTCTTGTCTATTAGTTCTCCTATTAATTCTAGACACGCACCCATTCTTCTCCCTTCTCAATCGAGTTCTTACACATTGAACGACTTGTGGTTCCTGATACGATATCTGAGATGGCATTAGCCTTGGGAGCACTCTGGTAAAACTTAACGTGCTACGACATCTATAATCTGCAAAACAGCTGACATCCAGTATCACAGGGCCTGGAGTGTCTGCGATAAAGCCGTCATATCTTATTACTCGAGAGAGTACAAGACTGTGTCCTTACCCGAACGCCGAAACTACAGCCACGAAGATGTGAGCATTATAGTTCCAACAATCGACACAGAGTCCACCTTCACCGAGTGTATGCGCCTTTGGATCAAGGCCAATCCTCGTGAGATCATCATCGCAACCGTGGAGAGGAACCGAGCCCGTGTCATGCAGCTCATCGCGCCTCTCCAGAAGGATGCTGACAAAATTATCATCGCAATTGCACCTCTGGCCAATAAGCGCCACCAGTTGATGGTGGGCGTAAAAGCGGCAAAGGGTAAAATCTTTGCTTTAGTGGACGACGATGTTTACTGGCGACTTGATACTGTTGTCCCCTATCTCTTGGCTCCGTTTGAAGATGCTGAGGTTGGCGCGGTTGCCGGTATACAAAGGTCAGCTCCATGAACTTCACGTCCACTGTTAGCACAAGATGCACCTGACTGACACTTCCATCAGCGCCGAGGTCCCGCCTGAACGTCAAGATGCACGAGTCCTTACTCCCTGGGAAGCAATTGCAACCTTCGATTTGTGCCAGTGGAAAGGCTCCCGGGAGGTGCACTTCGCTGCGGATGGAGGTTGCTGGTGCTTGTCGGCACGAACACTCTTTATTCGTGCTTCCATCCTCCAAGATCAAGGCTTCGCCGATGCATACACACAGGAGGTCATCGGCCGTAGAGTGGTGAATACCGCCGACGACGTTGTTTTAACAGGCTTGATATTTGACCGCGGTTGGAAGGTATCAATTCAGAATGCCTCTGAAGCCGAAGTTACTACCAACATCCCCCAGAACCACAAGTTTGTGTGGCAGGTCCTTCGTTGGGACAGGGGAAACTTTCGTACTTTCCTAGGGTACATCTTTGCGTACCCTGGCTATCGAAAATTGATTCAGTATGTCATCCTTTGTGGCGATGACGAGCTTCACCACGGGGTTGTCTAGTTTGCCTTGCTGAGCCTTTACTTCTAGGAGACACCCATACACCACTTTCAAGATGGTTGAGCGCTTAGTTCGACCTATCTGGGCTCTTGCATACGTTTCGGCTTGGCTTCAGACGTATTACACAGCACCAAGGATTGCGTGAGTACTTTTTTCACCGTATCCCTTTCAAATTCCATTTCTGCATCCCATACTAATCCCTTAGCAGTTACACATATATAGCTTGGATGGCCTTTGGATGGAAAGGATGGTTTTCAACATACCTTGCATTCCTCAAAAAGTACCCATATTGTGCACGTAGTGTGTGGGCGTTCCTGCTTATGGATATTGTTGGTCCAATCGTGGATATATACGTCTACTTCACTATAAACAATGACAATTGGCTGACTAGGGCAGCGGACACCAAGGACATCGATGATTAGGCATCAAGGACTAGGACACCGAAGAGCAGAGTATTAAAAGTTAGGATAGTAATTATAAGAATTATTATCTATAGTAACGTTATCTCCAGTGCTAAAAGATTATGAACGTATTTTGTCAAGGTTTAGGGTCTCTGTTTGCTACAGTGTGGGGTCGTTGTTTGCTTGAGTAGCAAACAACCCACCATTAATAGTGGGACATTGTCTATCTACAGCTAGCGCTGTTTGCTGTTACCCAAATACATACACTGCTCGTAGCCTCACTCAATACAACCTCAGTTCAATCCTTCAATCCTTCCAGCACGCGATCCTCGACATATTTTTGAGTATATATTATCTCTACGATACGCGACTGTGGGGTAGTCTTACTTAAGTGCGGCCTGATCGTTATGTTCTTAACAAGAGATCCTAACTCTCGTATGGTAAGGCGCATTAGTAGCTCCTTGTCTTGGGCCTACCACTCACCTTTCCATGCACTGCCCTTCCGCCTGCACGACAGTGCAGCGGGCAAACAGGAAACAGGGCGGCGCTTGAGGGCCGTCTCCCTGCACTAGACCCACTACCTATTCCTTCATGCACCACCTTCCGCCTGGGGTACTGTGCAGCGGGTAAACGGGAAATGAGGCAGCTCTTAAATGTCAGACCTCTTCCAGGACGGTACAACGGAGAAATTAGGTTCAACTTGGCATGACAGGAAGGAGGAGCTGCTCGCAGCGCTTGGCACACTCCTACCCATTGTATCGGTATGCAGGAGCTCGTATTTTCCGGGGTTTCCCGTTTCACCCCACTACAGAGGCACGAGCCAAGAAGCGATATATTCTATAACCCTCAAGAAGTTCGCTTTGCAGACTTAACGTGTCGCCTTGGCAGCCTCCACTCAATTTACCAAGGTCTATACATTGTTTTTAGTATATGCATGAAGCAAAGAATCGCAATCGCGATTCTCTTTGGTCATACTCTACTACTACTTTGGTCTGGGCGCTTACGAACGCTAGAGTTGCTGCATCGCCAAGTCATTCTCATATTGTGCGCACTTGCAGGATCTTATCGTAGATGGTAACCTCCCCACTTTGTTGCAGACTCTTGAGTCTCAGTTTGAGAGCATATCCGACCTAATGCAAGTTTTGGAAACGATAGTGGAGCCCTATTCCTCTAGATAAAGTATAGACATTATGTGATTATCGCTCAACATCGCTAAGACACCGTGTTTGCCGCAACAAAGCTCCGCTATCATCTTTATTACCCCCCTTGGCGCGCGATGATACTGTGGGGTGACTTCACTCCTTTCTCAAAGCCTGGGCCCGCAATCGCCACCACAATCGGCCCAGGCTATCCTCCACACTCGATCTTGGCCCTCGGCCCGGCTGAAGATGGGGTTACATCGGAATATCACTCCATTTTGTCGCGGAATCACACGTATACTCACACAATTAGCTACAAGACTGAGCCTAGCCTAATGCTACCTACTGTTGCCAAAGCTACTTGTATATCTACTTCTCATCTCCTATAGATATACAATCAACTCAGTTCTCATATCTCTTGTCGGCACGTAATCCCACCAGTAACCTATCGCCTCATTTCTCTAGGTCATGTCCCCAACACCAACTCCCATTGCCATCATTGGCATCGGATGCCGGCTCCCTGGTGGGGTCAGCGACCTAGATAGCCTATGGAAACTCTTGTTGGAGGGCCGTAGCGGCCGTATGAAAATTCCTAAGGACCGTTGGTCTGCCGAGGAATGGTTTGACGCATACCCAGACGCCAAACAGTCCATGGTCACGAAGCACGGGTTTTTCCTTCAAGATGATATCTCACAGTTCGATGCAAAGTTCTTCGGTATTTCCAGCATGGAGGCACACGCCATGGATCCACAGCAGCGCCTGTTACTGATGATGGCGTACGAGGCATTGGAAGATGCCTGTATTCCCATAGACAAATTACGAGGATCGAACACTGGTGTCTTTGCGAGCATATTTGAGAGAAGCTACGACAGGATGGGACACAAAGACCTGTCAACAATTAGCAACACGCATATGAATGGAACAGGAGAAGCCAGTACGTCTACAAATGTAACAACTTGCCCCGGTGCTTACACGACTACAGTTCTCTCGAACAGGATCTCGTACTGTTTTGACCTGAAAGGACCATGCATGACTATTGACACTGGCTGCGTAAGACTTTCTTACAGAGCTGAAATACGGGCCGAACTAAAAGTGTATAGTCCGGCAGCCTGGTAGCCCTTCATCAAGCATGCCACAGTCTCAGTCTCGGCGAGTCAGACCTCGCTCTGGTTGGTGGCTCGCAGCTTGTCATGCACCCCGATGCTCTTACCATTAGTGAGTTTTTTTTTCCTTTTTTTCTTGAAATTTCTCGTCACTTGACTCTTTAGGCAGAGAAGTTTTGATATTACATTACAGTGTATAGTAGTCAGGAAGCACTGACGTCAACTCAGTGAGCGGCATGGGCATGCTCAACCCCGATGGTAAATCTTATGCATTCGACTCGCGAGGCGAAGGCTATGGACGCGGCGAGGGCGTAGCCATGATTGTCCTCAAGCGCTTGGACCGCGCACTCGAGGATGGGTAAGAAGGTGCAACACTCTTCCACAAAGTGTCTTTGTTGACAGGTTGAGCAGGGACAGAGTACATGCCATTGTTGCCAACTCTGGTACAAACCAAGATGGAAAAACTTCCGGCCTCAACACCCCTAGTGGCGATGCCCAGGCTACTTTGTGCTCACGCGTTTACCGAGAGGCTGGATTGAATCCTGCGGATACATCATTCGTCGAGGCCCATGGCACCGTAAGAATCTCCTACAGTATCATAGACATGGCTGACGAGATTCTGAATAGGGCACTCAAGTAGGCGATCGAGAAGAGATTGCTTCCATATATAAGGTCTTCTGCGAGAGTGTTGCTAGGACAGGCGACCTTTACGTGGGCTCGATCAAACCGAATGTGGGGCACCTTGAGGCAACCTCTGGTATTGCAGGACTGCTAAAGTCCATTCTCGTGCTGAAGCATGGCCAAATCCCACCAAACTTGGATTTTATTAAGCCAAAGCCATCGTTGAAGCTCTACGAGAGAAACATCAAAGTAATCTTATTGTTCTAGCTGCAAATATCCGAGCTAATTTCTTCTAGATTCCGACTGAACTTACGAAGCTCCCGACGTTGCGTAACGGGGGACCAGTACGAGTGTCTCTCAACTCATTTGGTTACGGAGGAACTAATTGCCATGTTATTCTTGAGGCTCCCCACTCTGAGAGTATGATCCATGGATCCAATGGTATCAAACTTAACAGCGTTGAAGCAAACGGTTCTCATTATAACGGTGTCGAATCGAATATCAACAGTATCAATGGTACAACGACCAATGGAACCAGACTGAATCAGGGAGAGAGTGTTAAAAATGGGCTTTCGGGTACAGCTCAGGCTTTGCATTCTGGCAATTCCTTCTCGGCGAACACAAAGTTAGACTGTCCGAGACTAATTGTTCTTAGTGCAGCGACAGAAAATGCGTTGTCATTGCGGGCCCGGGACCTTCACTCGTGGATTAAGACTCACAAGATGACACCGCAAACTTTGCCCAGCCTATCTTACACACTCGGAGTGCACAGATCGGCTCTTCCATACAGGAAAGCTCTTGTCGTATCGGCAATAGAGGAACTCGCGGTTGAACTCGGATTACTGGGGCCTGCAAAGCGAATGGTATCGCAGGCACCCGTTACGTTCGTCTTCTCCGGGCAAGGTGCCCAGTGGCATGCAATGGGTCTTGAGCTTATCAATCTTTCGCACGTATTTCGACAATCGATGTCGGCTATGGAAGATGTATTGCGCCAGCAAGGTTGCCAGTGGAGTCTCGTGGAGGAGCTGTCAAGGCCTCTTAAGCAATCCCGAGTCGGCGAGGCTGAGATAGCACAGCCTGCAACGACCGCTATCCAAATTGCGCTTGTGGATCTGCTCGAAAACTTCTCTATACGACCAAGTCGAGTCGTAGGTCACAGCTCCGGTGAAATTGCTGCCGCTTACGCGGCTGGCGCCTTGAGTTGCAACAGCGCCATTCTCTTGTAAGCAAGACTTTCATGTGTACAGCGATATATTGCTAATCTACAACAGAGCGTACCATCGGGGAGTATTTTCTGCCAAAGCTAAAAAGGTAGCTGATGTTCCTGGCTCTATGATGGCGGTCAGCCTAAATGAGATTGAAGCGATGCAACACCTAAAGAAACTTACCCGCGGGACGGCCGTTGTAGCGTGTGTGAACAGCTCGTCAAGTTTGACACTGTCGGGAGACGAAACTGCGCTTGACGAGCTGAAAGAAGTACTCGATAAAGATGATATATTCGCCCGGAAGCTAAGAGTTGACACGGCCTATCATTCGCACCACATGCAATGTGTTGCCGAAGAATACCAAGAAGCTATCGGCAGTATTGAGTCCTCCAATGTGAGAGATGAAGTAACCTTCTACTCTAGCGTCACCGGTGCCATCAAGTCAACTGGCTTCGGGGCTGACTACTGGACTTCTAACCTGGTGTCGCAAGTCAAGTTTAGCCAAGCATTGACGATGGTACGAGATGACCAAATAAAGCACAATACCAAAGGGGACGTCAGTGTATTTGTTGAAATTGGTCCGCACTCAGCCCTTGCAGGTCCTTCTCGCCAGATCCTCATGCAGGAAGGTGCTGAGAAATTCAAGTTCGAGTACCTTTCTGCTCTACTGCGCAACGTGAATGCTGCACAGTCTACTCTGGCGCTCGTTGGCAGATTGTTCGAGCTCGGTCTCGAGGTCAAAATGGCCGCGGTACTCACAATGACTAACAAGAGAAAACCAGAGATCATCAGAGACTTGAGACCATATCCCTGGGACCTCGCGCCGTTCTGGCGCGAGTCTAGGCTAAGTAAGGCCCACCGCTTCCGCCAATTCCCACATCACGACCTCCTCGGCCTCTTCGACCCGGCCAGCACGATTCATGAGCCGCGCTGGAGATATTTCATCAACATGGACACCCTGCCATGGCTCAGGGGCCATATGGTTGAGGGGTTTACAATCTATCCTGGTGCGGGCTACCTGACAATGGCCATGGAGGCAATGAAGCAGCTTGTGCAGATGAGAGGCATTGAACAGCCGATCGCAAAGTTTGTGCTTCGTAACGTCACAATATCAAAGGCTATAGTGCTTAGCGAACCGGATGATACAAGCTCTGGCGAGGTGGAAGTACAACTGAGCATGTCAGCCGCAAATCAGTATGAGGGTAGCCGTTGGGAATCGTTCCGGATCAGGTCTTACAACGTAGATGGGTCTTGGAGCATACACTGCTCCGGCGAAATCACAGTAGAACACGATATGACCGAACCTGACGAGGTCGAGGGAACAAGAGAAAGGGAATTACGCCAAGATGAGGCCTTGCAATTTCTCACAGCTTCACAGCAAAGCTGTGACGCGGAAATGACCAAGTCCGAGTTCTACAACTTTGCTCGACTGACAGGAAATGAATTCAGCGGTGCATTCACCGCAATCGTTTGGGCCAGATACGGCAAAAACCGTGGCGTGTTCGAAATATGCACCCCAGACGTTGCTCCTTTGATGCCGTACCGTTCCTTCAGGCATCATATCATCCATCCAACTACTTTGGACGCCACTCAGCAGATTAACGCAGTTTTGTTCAAGAAATTTATCACCAATGCTGCGTGTGTTCCGACCAGCATCCCGTTACTGGAGATTAGTGCCAGTCTCTCCACCACGGCAGGAAACAGCCTTACTGGCGCCATACAGATTGAAGCTGATGGTCCCAAAGCGTCCAAGGGGGAGGGTTGGGTGTTTCAGAAAGACACGAATGGCCATCTTAGCCCGGTAATTCGACTTCTTGTCAATCTAAGAGCCATTGGCGACACGCGAGAGGAAGAGAACCGGCCTTTCGTCCAGGACGTCGTGAATAGACTTGATTGGAACCTTGACGCCGACTTTATGACAGGAACTTCATTCCTGCAAGAGCTCTCATCTAAACTAGGGTTGGATGAAAATACAACCCATGGTTTTGAAGGAACCAAGATATCGGTTGATGAGTCTCAGAAGGAATACCTTGTTACGGACCAGGCCTCGTCCATCTGGTTTAGAGAAGCCGTGCGCCATGTCGAGGAAGATAAAGCTGGAATGATTACGCCTCAGCAAGTCAAATTCTTTGGCTGGATGAAGAGGTGGTTAGCCTCTGATTATTGTCGTCAGATCACATCGGGCCTGACTCGGGAAGAAGAAACAAGTATTCTGAAAAGGATTGAATTATGCAACACATCAGCACAGTTACAACTCCTCGCCCGCGTTGGCAAAGCCCTTCCTCACATTGTGACTGGCGAAACTCAGCCCTTAGACGTCATGCTGGAGGGCAATCTCCTGTCGAGATATTACGAGAGTGGTATTCTTGTCGGCCCCTATGAAGCAGCAGTGGCATACATGAAGATTCTTACTTTCAAGAACCCGCGCCTCCGAGTCCTCGAGATCGGTGCAGGGACGGGAGGTTGCACCAAATGGCTCTTCCGTGGGCTCTCCGGCCAGAATGGCGCTGCGGGCCTTCCATTTGAAGAGTACACCTTTACCGATGTATCCAGTGGATTCTTCGAGGATGCGCGCCAGACGTTTGCCGAATGGGAGGACATAATGCAGTTCCGAACGCTGGATGCGGACCAAGACCCTCTCGAGCAGGGCTTCGAGCCTGGGTCCTACGACGTCGTGGTGGCGGCTAACGTACTACATGCAACGAGAAAGATAGACGTGACGATTAGCCGCGTTCGTAAGCTGCTTAAGCCGGGAGGCAGTCTACTCCTACTTGAGATCCCGCCGAGAGGCGCGGCCTTTGGTCTCGTGGCTGGCCCACTTACCGGTTGGTGGGCCCCCGAAGACGATTTTCGAGTTGACAGTCCTTTGCTATTCCGCAACCAATGGCAAGATGTTTTGGCAAGGAACGGCTTCGGAGGAATCCACCTGGCATGGGAATGTATGATGGTTGCCAAAGCCGACCCCGAGCTATGCAACCTCAACAGGGAACACGCCACGCATAGCGTCGTTCTGATTGGAAACGGGGTTGACGACCATGTAGAAAGAACTACCACGGAATTTGCCTCACGCAACATCGATACCATAGCGTACTCGTGGGAGCAAGCTAAAGCCCAGGAAGGCAGCCTCTATGTCATCTTGGACATTGCAGAAGAACGAGCCCTTCTTGATCCGAAGCCCCCGCTGTTTGAGACAATCAAGGCGATCGTCAGCGCAAAGACTCAAGTCCTATGGGTGCTTCTCCATAATAAAGGCGATCCCGCAGCCTTAGCCTACAAGGGGCTAGTTAATGCGTTTGTCCGCGTTCTGCGACGGGAGAGCGGCAACACTAGCCTAGTGACCCTTGACATCCGCCACCCCGCTCAAAATACAGAGCAGACGGCCCGTACCGTTGCTGACGTGGCATGCAGGCGCTTCTGGCCGGCCCGAGGGGACCTACCCTCTCTGGAGCCCGAGTTTGCCTGCGAGGACGGCCGTGTTCTGATCCCTCGTGTCAGGGCAGACGTCGAATTTTTGAAATGGGCGCGGCGCGGGACTGAATCGGGGGCTGACATTGAGACAGAGCCTGCTCCTTACCAACAGAGTGACCGAGTTTTGAAGGCTGAGGTCGCAACACCGGGTCTATTGAGCTCACTGCGCTTCGTCGACGATCACATATCAACGGCTCTGGAGCCATGCCAAATCGAGGTCAAGGCCGAGGCGCACGGCGTGAATTACAAGGACGTCGGCATCGCGCTTGGCCAGAAAGGTCCTGGCGTCCATATGGCGGGCGAGTTTGCAGGCGTTGTCACGGCGGTGGGCGAAGACATGCGACATCTATATGAGCTAGGCGATCGAGTCATGGGTTTCGGTGCACATCCGTACAGCAATCTACTGCGTGTTCATGGATATCAGGCCCACAAGACGCCCATATCCATGTCCGCGACGACTGCGGCATCCATTCCACATGCATACGTGACAGCCTTTCACTGCATCGTGGAGATCGCCCGCCTCGAGCGAGGCCAGTCAATCTTGATCCATGCTGCGTCCGGAGGCGTCGGGCAAGCGGCCATTCAGCTCGCCCAGCATATTGGTGCCAACATTTTTTGCACAGTTAGCACGGCTACCAAAAAAAAGCTGATAATGGACGAGTACGCCATCCCGGAAAGTCATGTCTTCTCTAGCCAAACGGGTTCGCTTAAGCAGGGCATTATGCGACTGACAGATGATGAAGGAGTGGATCTAGTGCTCAATTCATCTGTAGGAGAGATGCTGAGAGACAGCCTCGACTGCGTCAAGACACTGGGAACATTCATTGAACTGGGTAAGAGTGAGATGCAACAAGGACCCCAGCTGAGCATGGCTTCATTCAATAGGTCGATAACCTTCAACGCCTTCGATCTGGAAACACTCGCCGCTCGAAACCCCAAACGCGTCCAGCGCATTATGGGAGATATCGTTAGCCTCATCGAATCCAACACGGTGCATCCTGCCCGCCCTATAAGCACTTACTCCATAGGTCAGATTGAGGATGCATTTCGCTTAATAAGCTCGAGGAAGCACACGGGTAAAGTTGTTCTCCAGATCGAGCCTGCCTCAACGGTCAAGTGTCTCCCAGCCAAGCCCCTACCGCTGCATGTACGCAAAGACGGTACCTACATTGCGGCCGGTGGTCTCGGCGATTTGACCTCGCGAATCTGTGTGTTCCTGGCCTCTCGAGGCGCCGGACACATCGTGTCTCTATCACGGCGCACCGTCGATGATGCGACCAAACAGAAGTACATGGCTACGGTTGAAAAACATGGTTGCAAACTTCATATCCTCCAATGCGATATTACAAACGATGAAAGCATAAAAAATGCTGTGGACTACTGTTCTACGTTGCCCCCTGTTAGAGGTGTAGTCAACGGTACATTAGTGCTTAGAGTAAGTCGCAAAGTACTTAGACATTTTAGTGCGATACCAGTTCTAATACTTCGGATTAGGACCGAACATTCGCCCAGATGACCGTTGAAGAGTGGAAGTTACCACTCCAACCTAAAGTTTTGGGGACTCTCAATCTCGACAAATTCTTTGCATCATCTGATTTGGCGTTCTTCATGACCCTCTCCTCGGTCGTCGCCGTCGTTGGTAAAGCTGGTCAGTCCAACTACGCTGCCGGAAATGGCTTCCAAGACGCTTTCGCGCGTGCACATGCCAACCACCCTCATACGCACTACGTCTCGGTAAACGTCGGTGCCGTGTCTGTAGACGCACATGGCGCCCTTAAAGAGTCACAGCAAGGCGATATGTCCATCGGTGGCATGAAGGCCTCCCTCAGGCAAAACAGTGTGATGGACATTTCATTTGACGAATTTCTCGCTAATATCGAGTATGCCATCAACAGTCTCATTCGGGGCCACGACATACACCAAACTATTCAGGGTGTCACGCACCAGTCCATGGTGGACGCCAACGATGAGCACCTTCTTGAGAATCCCATCTTCAGCCAGCTATCTTCCCAGAAAAAGAAAATTACGAGCGACACTCAAAACGAGAAGATCGATTTGAAGAAGTCTCTAGGTTGCGTGAAGACGATGGAAGAGGCTGAGCAGCTCATCCAAGCTGCCACACTGAACAAGTTTGCCGTCTTCCTTGACCGGCCGATTGACCAAATCAGGGTCGATCAATCGCTTGCAACTATTGGTCTTGACTCTCTCGTTAGTATCGAGTTGAAGAACTGGATGGTACGCACTTTCCAAGTCAATCTCCAGACATCGGAGCTGGGCGGTGCTGGCAGCATTCAGGCGCTGGCGGTGACGGTCGCCTCACGATCGAAGCTGATCCCAGATGACATCCGCCCACCACGGCAGCAGGAAGCCACCACCCTGGTAGAGAAAGAAGAAATCCCAATGAATGTTCATTCAAGACAGAATCATAGCTTCTACTGCTGCAGGGCGAGCAAGGAGCTACCTAGGCACCCGCTTGTCAACCTAGACGAGGCAGTCAACGACCTCCTCAGCAGCATTGGGCACTTCTCCCACACTCGGGAAGAACATGCGGAGCTCACCCGCAAAGCACACGCCCTCGCTGTACCGGGCAGTCTTGGCCGCAAGCTTTACAACCAGTTGCGCGCAAAGGCTGACGATCCAAGCGTGGAGAGTTGGATTGCTGGTCCCCTCCTAAAGGCACTACACCTCAAGCGAAGGTATCCTTTAGTGCCATTTAGCAGCTTTCTCGGAACACACTTTGACAGCGCCGCTCCCCACTCCCAGTCCCAGCGAGCGGCCGCACTTACCAGGGCTCTTTGCGAATTCAAGCGTGATCTGGACTATAGGAGGCTAAAGCCCGATTTTCTGGGCGAGAGGCCAAACTGCGGCCACTCTCTGACTTGGCTTTTCAATGCCCTAAGAGAGCCAAATGTGGGTTGTGACAAGATGATGAGGTATGCAGGTAAAGACCACGTCGCAGTGTTGCGGAGAGGGCCATTTGTTCAAGGTATCTCTACTTGACGGAGACAGCATCGTCTCGTATCAGAAGCTGGAAGCAACGTACCAAAAGATAATTGACCTCAGCCTTGACGAAAAGCACTGGACAGGCATACTGACGACAGATAACCGGGACAGCTGGGCTACTGTAGGTCTTGCTCTATCTCCGTACCACTTGTTATACTAATGACAGTGCTCCAGAACCGACAGAAGCTCATCTCAATGGACCCGAAGAACGCCACGTATATCGGAGTATTGGAGGAATCCATCTTTGTAATGTGTCTAGATGATGACAGCCCTGTCACACGTGAAGAGCGGGTCCGGTCCGGATATCTTGGTGACTCATTCAATCGTTGGCATGACAAGACTCTCCAACTTATCGTCACCGCCAATGGCCGCTCCGGTACCATTTTCGAGCATTCCATGATCGACTTCATGACCACCTCGCAGATCTCGCAAAGATTACAGGGCGCCATCGATACCCTAGACCCCCAGGAGGACAACCTCGAGCAAAATGGCGAAGCTGCCGTAGATCTCGCGAGCCTAAAAGAGATCCCCTTGGGGACGATGCCCACTAACATCGAGGCTCATATAAGCACGCTGCGTGACAAATACGCAGCAGTTACTGGGGCGAAGATCTACACCCCACACCTCATCCCTTCATTTGGAAAAGCACTACTTCTCGCTCACTCAGTGCCCATCAAAGCCACGGTAGATTTGACGATTCAGCTCGCCAGTCGTTTGTATTTCGGCTACTTGCCGGCGAGTTGGGAGACAGTCTCGACAGCGCACTTCCACTTGGGTCGGCCCGAGATCGTGCAGGTGGTACTGAAGTCCGTTGTAGACTTCTGTGACGCCGCGCTCGACCCTGCAGTGCCTCGCTTCGAGGCGTGCGCAAAGTTACTAAAAGCGGCACGCGAATGCAACGCCCAGATCGTCAAGGGCGGCGAGGGCCGCAACTATTTCCGATTGATGGACGTGCTCGAGGTCATGAGCCAGGAAGTGCAAGACGAGGACAGCAACGAAACCGTCCCCGAGTTGTTCTCGGACCCTGTATGGAAGAGGAGCTACCCGCGCTTGATCATGCAGACTATGATAGAGAACAAATTGGCCCAGGATCCTGGTTATACCATGGAGGATCCGGAGAATGTGTGGATGAATTACACCGTGAACGAAGATTCGTAAGTACATACTTCCTCGTCCAGTACACAACATGTGACTAACACATCTGCAGTCTAGAGGTGTGTTTTGTCAGTCCTCGATCGGGTGCTGAGCGCTTCAGAGCTGCGCTAGATCGAGCTACAGGTATCGTTAAGACTATTATCCAGCATAAGGAGTCGCGATAGAATATAGTTCCATTCTAGGGCTAAGTAGATTGGTATCAGATAGCAGGTGTTGCACGTCATTATCTTGATCATCAGGAATAGTCAAGTAACACAAAGCTTGTGTGCAACAACAGGAACAAAAATGGAACACGTAGCAGAAACCACAGACATAAACGCATAATATACTTCTTCTGTTGGGAGGGCTCTAGCACTAGTGTTGAAAGGAAATAACTGTAACTAATGATGCATTCTGTTCGATGATGGTTGTGATTAATTGATGATGCTCCTCAAAGGGAGGTGCTATGATGCTAAATACAGCGCCGCAGATTCTCGCAATTGAGAGTGAATTGAGACGAACTCGGGGCCTAAGGGCGAAGGGAGAACTCGGCGGAGGGTACGGGCGGAGGCGAGCGTGAGAGGGGGTTCAGTCGAAGGTGCTTCTGGGACGAGGTACAACCGGCTTATAAGTCTTCGGATCGCGCGCGCTTTGCAGGCATAAACAATGAACTCATGGAGCAGCACGGGAGATGTATAATGTGATGCCATGAGCGGTGGTGTGGGCAAATGTGGAGCAGTCACTAATATTGTACAGATTCGTACAACATAAGTCATAGTTACCAGTATGCTGCACGCTACATCCTCGATGCAAGCTGGAACTGGAACCTAAGCTAAAAGAAATGGTCCCCCAAGCATGGTCCCGTGCATTAAACCACCGCCCACAATCAAATTGAAGTCCGACTTCGCCTTTGCCGCATTACAGCGGTTCGCGAAACCGGCTTCACTTTACTTGCAAATACAATCGAATTCGCGCCTCTACTTGCGTCCCTTTTGTGCGGTGTTGCAATCCGAACAGTTATCACGATGGTACTCCCTAATAAAGGTCAGTCTTCATATACTGAATACTTAGCTCTCTATTCTTACATGGCAATAACATTGGGGAGACATCACTTAAGGGTCTGCTGGTAATCTGTGCACCATGCTTGGACAAGGTATCGGAGGGGGTAACATTTGTACTGTACTTTGATGTAGTCGCACATGTTGGTAGGAGGTATTGTGCTACTGTGAACTTGGTGAAGGTCAGTTACACTGTAAAGAGTATTCGCACCACCTCTATATATCCCATCAATTCTCTCTTCAACTCGGGTACAATTAAGATAGGTTCTCTGTCCCCTGCATATTGTGGTGTAGTAGCTTGTCACGTGTTCGGCGTTAGGTAATCGGCGCTAGGGTTAAGTATTTTAGGACGACTCCGCGTAGAGGAGCTCAAGAGTGATCGTACACCATTCTTAATACTACCGTTCATTGTTCGGATACCTTCTTGTTCTCTACTCTCTACCGATTGCGGGTCGGCAGCCTCTCTTCTGACTATTGAGACTATCCCTCTACCACAATATCTACGGTAGAATCCGGCTCTAGAAGCTGCACATGCTGGTGTGCGTCTCGACCGCATCAAGGCCTGCGCTGGGTTGTTTTTCCAGCCACATGCATGCGCGCCCCACCCAGGTGTGTTATGACAGCATCATTCATGCGCCTAAGGATACTGGGGCAATCTGCTGGCCTTATCTCATCTCTGCTTGGATTATCACAAATATAGGCACACGGCACGGGAAGTGCTTCCGCTGCAGGTATTAAATCCTTGAACGGGAAGTCTGATAGATGCATGTGATTGTAGGACCAGTAGGCGCAAAGTGGAGTAGAATTTTTGAAGATCGAACCATGCTAGTAGTCGCGCATCATCTCTCCACTATTGTTGGAGCCAACACAATCCTGTTAGTAAACAATGGTGAAATCATTGAGAAAGGAATGCATGATGAGTTACTAAAGAAAGGAGACAAATACAAAGAGCTCAGGGCACAGCAGAATTCTATAGGTTGAATTATCCGTAGGACTGCTGGGTTTGATTCTTTGTCTGTGAGAGGGAGTACTCTACTATATACTCATTAGATACACATTAGAGCGAACTACAGCATATGACATGCAAGCTATCGTGAGCACCCGCCTCCAACCTACTTGGTGGTCGCCGCTGGCTCGTATCCTTACACTAGTACCCACATTTTCTATGTTGCCGTGTCTTAGTGACTTTTCATGCCATACAATATTAGCTTGGGCGCTAGATCCTTGTTATCGCCCATTGTCTGACGCCATCTCGCTGAGCCGTCGAACAGAGCAGGTATGAAGCTTGCCCGCCGTTGCTGCGAGATAGAGCCAATAGCTTTCAAGGGTATAGTCTGTGCTAGCCATAACCACGCGAAGCCTCGTGTCGAGGGCTCCAAAATGCTCATCTATCTGCCTAACGTGTCACTGTCGCATCTGCTTCTTACCAGTAAGGAGATGAGTATCAACTGCCATAGCCCGTGAGCAGAGTTCGTCACTGCGGTTACTAGGGAGTCTCCGCCGTGATAGAGGGTCTGCATAGGTAGAGCGGCTGGATATGTCCGTGGGTACAGGGATCGCAGCAAGAGTGTCAGCATGCAGGGATAGCAGCAGGGTTGCAGCAAGAATGTTAGTGTCCAAGTAAAGAAAACTACAAGGCCGTGTTTTAAAGACTCGAGTTCTTTCATTACACTGCCTATTCTTTCGTTCAGGCAAAGATGAAGATTCCCAAGTTACTGAACGCCCCGCAGGATGCTGCACCTACTCCTTATTACTCACTCAAAGCGACCAACTCAATCTCTACTTCCTGTACGCAATCTTCTTAATCTCCACCTCTCGCAAATTCACACACTGCTCGCAGCAAGGTACTAACGGATTACAATATGCCTGAGTTATATCACAAGCTAGATAGTGTTGTTGAACTAGCCGCAGCTCAACAAGCACAAATAAAGGCAATTGAGGAGTTACGCAAAGCACCTACAGAGGAGAAAATGCTATTATAGGTGAAACTTGAAAAAGCCAACAGGAACTCTCCGCTAGGATAGACGATATTTTCATTTGGTAGCGGCATAAATAATAAAGTTACATGCCATATCTTGCAAAACCTGCTTTTGCTATTTAACCCAGAGATCTAAAGGTTCTCAAACAGTGTGTACGTTGCCAGGCTGCAGCTCTACGTTCGTAGGGGTCTGTGCGCGAAGCAACTTTGTCAGCCGGAGCTCCGGCAAGGAGCCGGGAAGCTTCCGGTCTGTAACGTGTCCGTGCGCGCAATGCCCGGATCGGAGTACCGAGCTGCCCGGGGCAATGCTCGGCCCGGGGCAATGCCCGCTCACCAACACCAAAACAATAGCTTGATTTAAGGCTATTGAGCTACGTACGATCGGTACTATCGCGATATTTTTTAGAATTGAGTTCTAGAGGCATTAATTAATATATATAGCTGTTGAGAATATCTGGGTTCAGTCCAGGGTAGAAGGTGATTGAGAGTCACGTGATGTGCTGGTGTGGCAGGTACTGCCCGGTGGGCAATGGCACCCACCACAACAGCAAAAGTAAGAGAGACACTCAACACGATAGAAAATACAATACGTTGCAGCTACCCCGCCTTATCCCTCCTCCTACTTAGTTATCCCTAGTAGTTATACTACTAGAGGGACCTTGTTCTAATAGGTTATAAGCCTAGTTGCCAAAACTAACGTTATTGTTTTGATCCCACCAGAGTCGCGCAGGACTTAGATTTAAGGAGGAATTAAACCTTAAAAGTCACGAAGGACTTAGCTACAATTCGCGGAAGGAATTGGTTACTAACTAGGGTCGCGCAGGACTCAGATTCAAGCAGGAATCAAACTCACCTACCCACACCTTCTCCACGCTCGAGAACCGACAACACCTACACCGCCTGCACCGCCTGCACCGCCTGCACTGCCTGCATCGCCTGCATCGCCTGCAGTATACTACCTATACGTCTAAGCTTCTCTTACCTCTGATACACAATGGCTAAAGCAAAGGAGGAATAGAAGATCCCTAAACTTACAGCTAAGAATTACGATGCTTAGTTCCGCTAGAATAAAGTTAAGCTAAAAGAGAAGAGAGTTTTCTACGTATACGAGAAGAGCCTAGAGAAGCACTACTAGATTACTACTCCTAGGGATCTATTAGACGCTGTGAAAGAATTAGATATTACAGATAATAAGACTACTAAGGTCTGTATTAACGTCGACAAGAGAGATAAGTACCTAGAGGACGAAGCAACTGCAATCGAACTCCTGTTTAGATCTCTTAGCAACGATAACTAGGCCCTTATTAACGAGTACAACACTGCCTTCTAGTTCTAGGCTTACTTGCGCAAGAAGTACACCTAAACTAACGCTATAGCCGCCAACGTGTACATAACTAGGATCTAGACATTTATATTTAATTCTAAGAGCACAATTATTAGGTTATAGGAAAAGCTAAAGAACTACTAACGCAAGCTTATAGCAGCGGATACTAACACTAATAGAGCTGTCAGATAATAGCACTGTTGAAGATGAGAGCGTACAGACGCTGGGTTAGACTAGCGCGACCCGGCATCTGAGAGAGCCAATCGGATCACAGGAAGGCTTGGCACCCCCCAGGTGTGCCCACAACCGTAGACAGAACCAACAAACAATCAACAATCAATATCATCACCATTATTACCTATTTCATCAGTATTCCAGATGAGAGTGAATATCTGACAATTAAGAGTCTCACTATCTTTACCTACCTACCAAAATGACGACATTTACCACCCGCGACGCGACCGTGACTTTACGCGACCAGTCAGACTACACCGGTTGGATGCTACAACTGCAAGCGCGTTGCATAGCACACAATATTTGGGATAAGATTGACCCAAAGACTACTACTCAGCCCCTCCGGAGGCCTACCGACCTTAGAATCCCAATCCTTGCTGACTACCAAGCAGCTTCTGGCATCGAAGAGCCAGGAAGACTTAGCGAACTATCGAACAGCGGACAGAAAGCGTTTAAAGAAGACCTCGAGTACTATCGCATGTCGATGGAGCAGTACAAAAGCGACCGACACCAATACGAAAAGGAGCAGTCAAGCTTCCAGCACATCATGACCCTGATTCAATCAAGCGTGTCACCGCACCTACTACGCACATGCTGTCTCCCAGACAAGACACTTCGCGAGTGGATTATAAACTTGAAGCTTACAGTTGGAGTGAGCGATCGCACCGAGAAGGAGCGAGCTAGAGAAAGATACCTAGCATCCCTCAAACCAATGAGGACCCCAAATCAATGGGACACGTGGCTGGCGGAATATGACCAAGCCGCCACGGAAGCTGAAGTATACAGCGTACCAGAAGTGTCACAACTTGATGCGATGTCAAAGGACTTTCTGGTGGCCGTCCAGAAAACAGCACCTATCTGGGCCGTAAACTTCCAAGAGAACGGACGATGGGCAGCTGGGATGAGCCGAAAGGAGATGATGAATCGGTTCCGAGAGCACATGATGATGCACCATCCCCTTTTTAGATCAGGGAAGCACAAAGCAGCTATGGCAGCTTACGATGAAAGCACACATGATGATACAACTCTCGCTGGAGGTGCATCCTACCAGCCACTGCGCGGGACGCCGAGCAGTGGGGTCACCGCGCCATCTACCAACTTGAATCCGGGGAATACCTCGCAAACAAAGTATCGGGGACGTCCTCGTAAACAACCACAAACCTCACAAGCCATGAGAAAGCCAGCACAGAAGCGGTCCTCAGCGCAAAGTGAAGGGACTACCTCCGGGCAGAAATGCCCAGCGTGTTATCAATATCATGAACTCAGAGCATGCTACTATGTCAATCCAGACCTAGCGCCAGAGTGGTGGACACCAAATGAAGCTACAAATGAACTAGTACAGTTTAAATGTAAGAATGATACACAGCTGCAAGGGCTAATCCGCGGACAATGCAGATCCCGTACACGCACGCCAGCTCTGAAACAATCACATACACCAACGCCGGAGTACTCTCAGTCACCAATCGAATGACTAGAAGGCCGAAAGATTACGGACGTAGACGCCGCGTTCACTACCATCGCACGGAGTGGGACAGCCGAGCACACGTACCCTCTCGCACGATCATTCATTCTTGATTCAGGAGCGACGTGCCACATCACAAACAATCCAGATCGGATATACAACTACCGCCCGTCATCATTAGGAGACTACATATGGGCTGGTAGTATAAAGATTTGGATACGGGGATACGGGACCACAGACATCACGCTGCAACATCAGCATAGGACAACAAAGCTAGTGCTGCGAGATGTGGCAATCTGCCCAGAGATCGTATGCAATCTAGTGTCCTTCCGACTGCTACGGCAGAGAGGAATCTGGTGGGATACCAAATCAAACCCAACCAACCTACGAGGACCAGACGATCAAGTTATTGGCAACCTCTTAGAAAATTTTGGCCAGTGGGTATTAGAGTACAATCCTCTAGCCCAGGCATTTGTCCACACAAAAGCCATCACAGCACGCACGCAGCGAGGACCAAAGAAGGCCTCAGCGATGCTGTGGCACAAGAGACTCGGCCACCCGGGACCAGCAGCAATCGAGCATCTCGTGCAGCAGTCTGAGGGGGTGCGAGTTCAAGGGGTGACGACAGTACAATGCGACTCCTGCGGAAGAGCCAAGTCCAAGAGACAGATACGACGCCTACCGCGAACAAACGACGAAGGCCCAGGAGAGCGACTTGCTATCGACTTCCATACATACGAAGTCCAGGCGATCACAAAAGAGAAGAGCCAAATGCTCATTACCGATCGTTTCTCAGGCCTCCAATGGGACTTATACTTTACCGACAACCGGACAGCCAAGTCTATTATCCGGCTGCTCACAACTTTCTTCTCATTTATGAAGAACCATTACAATATATCCGTTAAGACCATAGAGTCTGACAACGAGATCACAACTGTTAAGCCAGATGTCGAGCGATGGCTGGCAACACAGGGCATCAGAGTCGAGCCCTCAGCCCCAGACACACAGGCACAAAACGGTGGAGCCGAGCGCTCAGGGGGTGTGAACAAGGAGAAGGCACGCGCAATGCGACTTGACGCCAATCTCTCTTGGGAATTGTGGCCAGAAATCACTCGAGCCGCAGTCTATCTCTACAACAGAACCCCAAACTACAACAATCACTGGAAGACACCATACGAAGTCTTCTTCACACGAGTAGCTTTTAGCAACGGAATAGTCACATCTCTCCGAAAACCAAACCTCACTCATCTTAAGGCATATGGCTGCAAAGCTTTCGCCATGACAGACGACACCCACAGAGGGAAGTCGCGCCTACAACGCCTCGACCCAAAGGCATGGATCGGATACCTAGTCGGATACCGGTCATCAAACATCTACCGAATCTGGATACCGTCACTCGCCAAAGTGATAAGCACTAGAGACGTTGTCTTCGACGAACAGTCAATCTTCGATGGCAAAACCTGTGAACGGTCTGTAGGAACTGTATTCCAGCTACCTAGTCCAGATGCTATTTACAGTCAAGATGAAGAAAGAAGGTAAGACGCGAGCGGCGAGCCCGCTTTGTTTGGGTTGGCGCACGCAGACTCCGCAACAATCAATCGATTGACATGATTGATTCCTATATAGGTTAAAGAATTACTTCATTAGGCAGCCTTTAACCTAGATAGGAATCAATCATGCCGATCCGATTGATTGTTGCGGAGTCTGGGCGCACGGCCCTCTCGTTGCCGGGGAAGCGACTAGGCTCGCAGCCTAGTCATGTGACTTAGGGCTCAGCCCGTTACATTACCCCCCTCCTTTCCCTTTAGCGTGTAGTTTTTTCCATTTCTTCCAAGCGTCAGTCTTTAGTACGTTGCTCACTGGTTCCCATGT